GGATTTTTGTTGGACTAAACAGCCAGCAGGACAGATCCATTGGACAACTTTCCTAAGCACTCATTTTCTCCTTTCGTCTGAAAAATTCCATCTTTGGGGGTCTCTGGTACAAGGCATGGCTAAAGGGAATACAGACTTTTCATCTTATATCTACTGCAATGCAATGATAGGATGTTGAAGTGGCTTTCAATATTCATTTTGGCTAGGCTGCTAGTCAAAAGTGGGTGTTTGGAATCAATTTGGGTTCTTATGATACTTTTTATTAACATTTTTTCTTTTTCTGCTCTGCCCATCTCCCTTTAATTTCGATCACTTTCTATTTAATAATAGAAAGCGTCGCAATGGAAGGCGATTTGAAAATTTTAATAAATGTGTGAAATAAATAATTTTAAAGCTTTGTATTTTTTTTTAAAGAAACTAACAGTAAAAGAAAGAAATCATAATTTAAGTGTATTGGGCGTGTCAATTAAGTTAATTTTTTTTACTTATTTTCTTAAGTTATAAATTTATTTAATAAACACTTTGATTTAGTAAGGTGTTTAATAAACAAAATTATTTCACTAGTTTAAGGATTATAAACAAGCAACTTCAACTAGCTTATAGTTAACAAAGCTATTAAAAAAGTTAGCTTAAAGGATATAAATCGTTAGTTGAAAATTTATGAGTTAGCTTATTGAATTAAAAATTAATTATTGAAATAATTGATAAATATAAAATAACATAAAAGATCACATATTTATATATACTTTCACATAAATTTTCAATATTATTTTATATAAATTTTCTATATATAATTTCAAAATAGTATTTGAATTTATAATTCATCATTCTTATTATTTTTAATATTTATATCTAATATTTTAATAAAAATTCTCTTTTATCTCATGCTAACAATACACTGTTTATTTTAATATATTTTCAATTGCATATTTTATTATTGTCTTTAAGTACTACATTATTTATTTAAAAAGTTACTTGATCATTAAATAAAAATAATTATCATTCAAAGTCAATTAAAAATTAATTTCATAAAATTATATTTTTATAATAAAATAAAAAATGTAAAAAAAAAGATAAATATTTTTTTTATATTTATTAATAAGTTAAATAAATAATTTTACTAATACTTTTAATTCAATAAATTAATCTAGTAGTTTTTTTTTCTTTCAACTAACTTATCAATTAAGGAAATAATTTTTGAATAAAAAAAAATAGGCGATAAAAGGTATTCCTTTGGTTTTGAAGTATATTTTTAAAATAGGCATACATGGGAAAAAAATAAAAGTATATAAAAAAGAATTCAATTAAAATATAATGATACCATAAAATTATTACATTATTATTTAACCATAAATTATTTCGTTATCGACAATTGTTAATTTTTGTAATAAATATTTTAAAACTTATATCTATGATAATTTTTTATTGGCTGATGATATAATTTTTTTATATTATATGAGAATAAAAGATACTATATTCATTTTTTATTTTAAATAATAAAAATGTACTAATTATTGTGAAATATATGCTTTGGAAAATATCTGTCTGTTTACATATAATGTTGGTGATGATAATACAACAAAATTGTACCAAAAAGATGCAAAACTTGATGAGGGTATGGAAATGGATATTATTAAAAAGAGGAAACATGCAATGTTTATATCATGATCAGAAGCATCTCTTTGTACTGCCACCTCCTTATATAAGAAGGGAATCTGTAAAAGCAGTCCAGTCCTGGTATCTATTATCTAGTCGTCTATGTTACATCTTCAAGATTTTTTTAGTTTTTTCTTTTCTTTTCTTTTTCTCACTTTTGAATATAAAGTTTTTCATCCTGCGGATAGCTGGAGTTCCCTTCCACTATTCACGTAAATATAGTGCCTTTGCGATTGTGAACATTAACCTTGCCAATCTTTGTTTCAACACATGCTACTTTGCTTTATGCTATCTTCGTGATAGTATATAGAATAAATTAAAAATCACAGCATAATATTCTATGCATCTTTTGGTTATGCCATTTTATATCTTTATTTAAATTATTTAAGTTAATCGTAGACAGAAAAAATAAAATCTTTTAAGATTTATTTGTGAGTTGAATTTTAAAGAGAAGAAGAGTAAAGAAAGAGACTTATGTCACGATCCCAGTTTGTGAGTTTTTAAATGATAATTTTTTTTTTATAAACTCTCAAAATTCTTTTGATCATAATTTTTTTTTTCAAAATAATTTTAAAAATTCTCCTTACTCTTTCTTTGTCTTTTTCTCTCTTATCTTTCATAGTCTTTGATTTTTCTCTCTTTTAATTACATCTTTTTAAGTTTTTACATTTTAAAAAAATTTATATTAACCCTTATTCTCTTTCTTTTTCATCTTCATCTCTTACATTTTAAATCCTTTATTTCTATTTGCCTGTGTGTTCTTAAACAAAACTTTACTCTTTTCTTCTCTATCATTTTAGAAAATCTATAAAGTTGTAAATATTTTCTTTAATTTATATTTAATCTTTAATAAATCATATTTAACTATGCTACACTTTCTAAAAGAGTTTCACTTTTTTTTTTATTAATGGTAGCTATATCAATATCGCTATATTTGAAAAAAATGAAAGAAATAATTAAGGTTAAGAAAGAGATTACAGAAAATAATTTTTTTTATAAAAGTAATTTTAAAAATTTCAGATAATTTGCTAAATTTAAAACTATCAATTAATTTTAACAAGCTTTTTAAGTTTGTATGAATCGGTTAAAATGACTTATTAAATGGAACAAAGAAAGTATTTGGTAACACACACTACTAATGGATTTAAAAAATTCAACTTGTTTCTAAGTCAAACATTAAAAATTTACATAAATCCTTAAATTTGTCTTATTAATTTGACAACAGATCGACAGAATAATATTTTTGAATGCAAAAGGTTTACACCGAATTTTAAGAATTACAAATATTAATTATTTTATTTCTTATGACGAACATCTGAATCCTTATAAAGAGGATTAAGCCTGAAATTTGTAATTATTAATAAAACATTATTTTTTATATTTCATTAAAAAGTTTATTATTTAGTATTTAATACCAAATATGTTTAGACATTTTTAATTGAGAAATTGTATTAGCACAAAAGTTTCGTATGAAATATTATACAACAGAAAGAGAAATAATATATATATTAGAAAAATTATTATATTAATTTATTACATAAATAAGTAATCTCATTTTAAATTAGAGTTTGCCCTAAAAATTCCATACTCAGCTCACTACTTATTTAAATTTTTCTAAAAGTAAAATACTTTACTGTCAATAAGGTGTATTAGATTATTAGTTAAGTACCATTATGGAGCTATAGGGTTGGAAGTTGTGTTTTGAAATCGAAGCTAACTATATAGTCCACTTTTTCTTGAGATTATTGTGTGCTAAATATAACTATGCCCAATGATTTGACAGCATAAAAATGTGTAAATATAAAATAGTGATTAACCGTCCTTTATCCTTGGAATTTATTTGACTATTGTTTGATTGGAAAAGATCGAGAAGTCCCACTTAACAAAATTGTTATCTTGAATTAATGCAATTATACTATATTTGCCACTTCAATAGAAAAGGAATTATTACTTTAAGTGGATGCTTTCCCTAAAATGTTAGGTATAAAGCCTCGGTTCCTGTTTCCAGGAAAGAACCAACGAGAATAGCATCCAACCAAGCCATCATATGCGTAGTGCAGTTGGTTCCCAAGTTTGATGCTTCACTCAAACGCTGTACTCTCAAATTTTTAATGTTGCTACTTGAGTTTTAGCACATTAATCTCAGTTTCTTATAGCCAATTTTCATTTATTCATCGTACGCCAAGTTGTACAAGCAATTGTTCATGTAGTAATTTAACCCATCAAGAGCAAAATTTTTAATGGCCTTTTGCAAGCAAATTGTGTAGATCAACTAGGAATGATTGTCCTCTTAAGTCAAGTTGGCGATTAAAACTACACTGTCACGGTAGCCAAATAAAGAAGCTATCTAATATATTCCATGCAATAAATTTAATAATATTTATGACAATTTAGAAGAACTTATGAATGGCTTATAGAAAATAGTTTATGAATTTTATAAATTATTTTCGACTTATTTTTATAAAATTTTTAGTATAATATTATATTTTTCCTTATGAATCGCTATTCTGACTGAAAAGTTCTCTCTGAAATGCCCAAATTAAATAAATTGTAAAAATTATTTATGACTTTCCGAGTATTTTGACGCATTTGATTTTACCTTTTTAACCTCGTCAAATATTAAATTTTATATTAGTTTTAATCTATTGACATGAATTAAGATCATTGAAGACTATGCATATCAAGGTCCAAATGTTTTATGATTGATCACATTTTATTTATTGAATCTTCAATGATCTTTGTTGATTTTATTTGAACAGTGTCATTCTAAAATGTAATGAGCTGAGCATTCCAACCTATAACGTCTACAAAAGGTACAACCTCTTAAATTAAATAGGACTCTCTAAACTTTGAAGAGAATATACAAATTGGCATCAATTATAACTTTTGGATTAAGCGAGGACAATATAAACATAGTTACATTTTACAAATTTATGGAAATACATTACCTGATAATTGAATATGATACATGGTTATATACATTGAACAAATGAAAACCAGCAATAGAAAAGAGAAATCGAAATCAAATACAACCAAGCAAAAAACTAAGTGGAGGCAACCTCCAACAACCCAACTAACGTTTGACTTTCATGGCATCTCATGATCTAAATATGGTGACTTTATTAATAACTTTAAAATAAAATGTTAAAATCGAAAAGCCTTTTTGTCGTTCTTTTTTTGCTTACAAAAGCTGTTTTGTAGTCAACAAGAAGTACCTATCAACGGTATCAGCCAAAACTTCATAAAAGGGTCTTCCAGAAAAGATGCTTCTGTCAAGAGACTCCAAAGACAAAGCTACCGAAACCGAGGTGCTACATAACTGTTTATGTTTCTACTTTAAGAATCTAACCCAGAGGCTCGTCATTTAACCCATCAATGAATTCAACCTACATAAGAATCTCCGAAATATCAAATTAACAATGTCTAATATTGCTTGAAATTTAAGAAGAGCATTTAATAAAATCACATTTACCCAGAACTCGTCTTCATATTCTTCTGTGGTTGCACATGGGGCTTTCGGAATTGGAATCTCGATGGTGTCGTCGTTACGTGCGAATCTGCCACGTATGCGTGTTCGATTGTCGGCTAGTGTCTTTCGGCATGCATACTGGTTGGTACCACAGAAAACAACAAAGCAGCCACATTCATATCTTTTTTCTTTTTTTCCGTTTATCTTTAATTATTTTTTCTTCTTAATCATTCATTCGTATATATTTGGCCAAAAATTCCGTGCTATCTTTATTCTTTTATAAACTAACACATCATTCTCATTCTTTTCCTTCAATTATTAGCAATAAAGAAATAGTGAAATAGCTAGTGCATGCTATTTTGTATTTTCTTTCTTTACCTTAATAATCTTGTTGAACTTCCTCTGGCTTCTCTTGGCTCTATATTTTGAGATTCTTTCTTTTCTTTCTTCGGCACTGTAACGCCCTACTTTGAAGTTTGCTTCCTCCAAAAAGGGGCTCTCCGTGTGAGACATATCCGTGGCTTTCATGTTCTGAACAAAAAGTAAATTAAAACAAAGTTTAATTAATATAAATAAAAATCAAGATGATAAATTAGGGTGCTATTAATATTATTGAACCTGCAAATCTCCTGTGCTGCACACCCTCCTCATTTCTCCACTGACGAAAGTGTTCTCAGGAGAGTTCAAAGCATGCCATTGAAAATTTGGGAAGTCCATGAGAGTGGGGAAACTAGGTTTCCCATCAAAAGAGTTACAGCTGAAGCTCCTTTGCATGCTGCCACTTTGAGAAATAATGTGCTGATTGAAGGTGTAATCCACACCCATTTGGCATTCCTCACTTATCACTTCAGGGCCATCAAAAGCAGCAAAATTTCTAGACTCACCCTTTATATTTGAGCCACTTGAGTGATTAGTCTGGTAGAGCAATTTGTTTTCGGGAGGAGAAAAAGAAAAGGGGTTCAGAGAATTGTCGAAACTCCCTAGAGGTACATCAATGGGAGAAGTGGTGAGAAATGGATCAGAGAAAAACACAAGTTGTCCACTGCCATCATCATAGTCAGGGCTTGAAAGTGTGTGGAAAGAAATATCTAAAGCATAGAGATGAGAAGACATTGAAACAGAGTTGAATAGAGTGTAGGTTTCTGAGAAGCTACGTTTCTGAATTGTTTAATGGAAGGCCTGCAGCAGCAACACAGTTCCAAACACTTGTCTCTGTCGCTCTGTTTTTAACGGCGTGGCAAAGGAAAATACAGAGAGTTCATGCTGCACTAGTTAATTAATTCGCTATATAAAGAAGTCATTTTTTCCGAATATTGCTCTTCTCATTTTTATATTCTCAAAACCCTCAAGTTGCCTCTTTTCAATGGTACCCTGTCCCAAAAATTTCCCTCAACTTTTCTACATGTCATTGTAGTGTTTATTTCAAATTTAATTTCTTTGTGGTTGTGTATCAATAAATTTTTTGGCAACTAATTTTATTATATTATGTTTTGTCCGACCTAAAGTAAATATGAAAGTTGAATTCAGTAATTAAGTACATATAAGAAGTGTTTGTTCGAAAAAATATTTATTAAAACAATATTTTTTTAAATTAGCTCAAAAAGATATTCAAAAATAAATATTTTTAAAAAATAAATTGAATTAAATATGTACTAAAAAATTATATGCAGGTATATGTGTGTGTATATATATATATATATATATATATATATAATCATTAATACATGACTTGAAGCACACCGTAATAGAATATTAAACTAGTGTAATCACAAAACTTAGTGGACGGGCCCAACCCAACTACCCAACATACTTGGAGCCTTGAACTCTTAATATTCTAAACTTGTTTTGTTAAATATAAATATTTTTTTTAATGAACCTTAAATATCATACTCGAAACACTAATAAGCCATTATTAGTATTTAAAAAATGTGTTTATCAAATTAAAGGACAATTACATAATATAAAAAACATTTAGCATTATTAAAACAAATTTAATCCTTAAAAATATTTTTATTTAAAAATACTTTCGTTTAAAAATATTTTAAAAATTGCTCGATTAATACTTATAAATCATATATAAAAAGTTAATTTCATCACATTTAAGGTATGATTATACTAACTTTTGAAGAATAAAAAAAATTATTTTTAGTTATAAAAAATTGAAAACAGCAAAGCAAAATTACAAATTTGATGATTAATTGTCATAAATTTAAGAAAATAGTTGATTTTAAAAATTTGGAAACAACGTGTTGAGCACACTAATCTCTTTAAAAAAAAACAAAGAAGGTGTTTTTGTATTTGACTTTATCGTAAGGTTTACTTCTAATGCGTCTTATCTATTACGACAATGATAACGAGTCAACAATAGGCCATCTGGTCGTGACTTCAAACTTGAAGGTTCAAAGTCGTCTTCGTTTATATCGTCGAAACCCTCTCTCATCTTTCCTTATATTCGTTATCATTGGATTTGGTCTCCATTGTAGTAGTTGTTGTTAAGGTTTTGATAATTCCTGAAGCAGTGGAAATGGCCTTGCAGCGGCACATAGAGAAGTTGCAGCTCCGCCAGAACTACCGCAATCTCTGGCACACTGATCTCTTAAGTACCATTCAGGCCGATACTCCTTGTAAGCTGTAACTTCGTAATGCTTTCTCATTACACACACACACAAACACTCTCATTGTTTCTAAATTTTTATTTATGTGCAGATTGTTGCTTTGCGTTGTGGTGGTAAGTCTTCTCTACCTTTCTGCCTGCAATTTTTCTATCTTTGATCAACGTTGACTTCCATTGACTCCTGATCATTGAATTTCCTCACTCTTTTTAAATTCCATTTGATATTTTGAGATATATAAAATTATATTTGTAAGTGCCTTAGTGTATGTCTCTTCTACTATGCAGTTGAGAAGGATGTAACTCTTTTACAACATGTTAGTATCATCAGCATGTATCAATCATCTCAGTATTTAATCCCATTTTGTGCTTGTCGATTCAGTGACCTTACAATTTTAATGGACTTGTATTGAAGGCATATATATATATATATATATATATATATATATATAAATGTAATTATTTCATGACTGATTTTCTAGTGTCTCATTTCAGTGCTCCATGTGTATCATATCTGCTCCGTAAACGTGCTCTTTACGATGATATGTCAAGGTAACTGAGGTTGTTTAAGTACTCTCAAGCTTCCAGAATGAAATATTTGGTCTGGTGGTGTGATATGGTTTTGTGTTGTTTTTTTTCAGATACACATGTTGTGCTGGTTACATGCCCTGCAGTGGTCGGTGTGGAGAAAGTAAATGTCCTGAACTCTGCCTTTGCACGGAGGTATAGCATTTTTTTACTTGTTTTCTTTTATTTTTGAAACAAATATCCGAATATACACCTCTCTAGTCTTTATGGATGAGGGTTGGGCTGTGATGCCTTAACCTTTACTGGTTAGGTGCTATAGGCTTCATGGGTTTTTTTTTTTTAATCACAAATTTGATTGGTGAATCAATAATGCCTTGCCCCTATTTGCCTTCCTTTTCTATTGCCATGCAAATTGAGGTCAATCTCTTCTTTCTTTATAGATACATTCTTTGTCGCACTGGTGCTGATAGATCATTACATTTATGACTGAATTTTTTTGCCTTGTAGGGTTGTTTGATTTGACACACCAAAACCCTTGATTATACCTATCTAATTTCTATTATAAATTTTGTGATGATATAATTTCTATTTTTTTAACTGAAAAATTAAATCGGGTGGTAATGATGATGATATATATAAACAGTGATTCATTTGTATTTAACGTTTATTCTTATCTTTAATGTTTGGTTTTTCGGTCACTACATAGTTAAAAAGATGAAAATGCATTGAAAATCGTTAGATAAAGAAAGTTGATTGATTTAAATGAGTTTAAAAGTTCAAAGAATGCGAAAAATTAGAAAAAGAACATTTTAGCTATTATTTTGAAGTTTGTATTTACCATTTAAATAAAGAACATGGAAGATTTCTTTTAAGTTTTTTCCTGGATGTGTTACGTGTATTTTCTGTGGTTATTTAACATGGCATTTTTTGTTACATTTTTATATTTATTCTTTTTTTTTCAGGTTTTCCTCTGTTTCGGAAATTCAGTGGCTTCAACTCGATTTCTTTTGCAAGATGAGTTCAATATTCAAACTACGCAATGTGATAATTGCATTATTGTACTCTCCCACCCTCTCTCTCTCTCTCTCACACGCTCACGTTACACACGCACATTAAAGTATATATCTTCTGATATTTTGTTGACTGATTTTTTATTTCTTATGTTTAGGGTTTCATGTTTTTCCTTCAACAATTTGCATGCATATTTTCTATTGTTGCCTTAATTGTGGGAAATAGTGGAATTCGAGAGGCTTCTCAGTGGCTATCGTGTTTAGCTGACCTAGTGTATTGCACGTAAGGCTTCCTTTTTAGCGTTTTTTATATTGTATTTTTTCTCTTTACTGTGCACTCAATAGCGGAACTTTTTATTACTAAATTTATGCGCAATTTCTTTTCTGTAGGGTGTGTGCCTGCATGCAGGTAAATTTGTTACTACTCACAAATGGTTAATCATCATGTTATAAATGTTTAGAATTAATTTACATCATAATAAAGAAAATGAATTTTATTGACAGACACAGCACAAAATTGAGATGGACAAGCGTGATGGCAAGTTTGAACCCAATCCAATGGGTGTTCCCTATGTTCAACAAATGTCACGCTTTGATCAGCCAATCCCTCCTTTTGTTGGGTATGCACCACAGCCAGCATATGGACACGCCTAAGAACCTTATCATGGTTACCCCCAACAGCATATCCCCTTTCTGGCTACTTTTGGTGTATGTTTTTCATTAATAATGCTTTATGTTGGTCTATACCGCCAATTTGTTAGGTTGAATTACCATCATTTATGTCAAAACATCATACATGGGAAGGATTAATGGTGGTAAAATATAGTAGTTACGTTAATTATCAGGTTGATTTCCCCCAAGTAGTTAATTTGCCTTTTTATTCATTGATGTCATATTGTCATTGCTTTTCACGTATTTTTCCTTTCTTTTTTTTAACTTTTTTGTGTGCAATGTGTGTTTCTGCACTAAAATAGTTAAAGGAAGAAGAGTGGATTTATGGGCTTACAAAGTAAAAAAAAAAAATTGATAAAAAGAAGAAATTAAGCCAAAGCAAAGTAAACAAAAGCTAATATTTGATTGAATTGTTAATACTTAATAATCTTAAAACATTCAAATGACACATTTATTATACTTGCTCAAGTAAAGTGATATTTTGATACATTAAAAGTGATAAATTATAGTCGAGTCCCAATGTTTTTAATCTTTTACATGTCATATTAAAACGGAACACATGTTCTTTTTATCATTAATAAACCATCCATTTTAGTGCAATTCTTATGAGAAGAACATTACTTTTCAACAAAAAATAAGTACGCTTACTTCACCCTCAATTTTGGAGATACTCTTTCCAGAAGAAATAGTTGAGATAACAATTCACGTTGCAGAGAATATGGGAGGCTGATATAGCACTTTGAGTAGTCATTTATACTTCTATTAGTTTTGTCTTTTGGGCTTCTTTTTGTACTCCAGGCGTATATTTCTTTTTCACATATATTATTTATTATATTTATTTTTACCTATGCTGTCCCTTTTATGTTGGGCTAATATACTGCTAGCTAGGTTATTGGGTCAAATTCTAACTCAAACATCTGGAAACTCATTTTATCGAATCTTGACCCAAATAATGTGGAATTAGTTTAGTTAGCATTCAGAATGTACAATCTGATATTTAACCTGAAAATGATCCGGTTCTACTATTTTCAATTCAATTTAACCTAATCATTTGAACCAATCCGATTATTTTTGTTTATGTTTGAATTGAATCAAATTAGCAAGTTAAATTGGAGGTGATTAGGGCATCTCCAAAAGGAGGTGCTTAAAATAATAGCTAGAGTTGCTTATATTTTACATACAAGAAGCGTTTGTATTATTATTTTTTTCTTCTTCTTAATATGTCTTACAGTTTTTTGTTTGGTATGCTGAAATGACCTTTTTTTCTTGATTTCTTGATAATTTCTTAAAGGCCCATGATTGCTTTTGTTAGTCCATTAGTTTTACCGAATCTGCACGGAGGAAAAAAAGCTTTTACCAATCCAGGAAAGGATTAGCCCAGTAAACAATCCAAAATATTTTATTTATATATGCTTTTTACCAAAAAATTATATTTGTTTGATGTTTAATTTTTTTAAAAAATATTGGAATAGAATAAAACAAAAAATAAAAGACCTGATAGAAGTCTTAAAAATTGTGTGTCAATAATTTAAGAAACACCTTTTGTCTCGTCAAAAATACCGTGCAAAAATTAAAAGTATTAAATATTGTCTTCATCTTTTTTGTTAAATAATCTTCTTTTCTGGAGCCTCCTTTGCTCCCTTAACCTTCCTTCTCCATCTTTTCCACTGCTCTCCCTTAGTCAGTTTATGTTGCACATCAGCCATGGGGTACTTATATTAAACTACCATGCTTGTATAAATTGTTTCTCAATATTAAGAAATTTAAAAAGAAATTTTGGTTAAATAACTCGTTGATTAGTACCTCACAATCAATAATAGGTATGATTTTACTAATTAGGGCCTATTTAACGAGTATAAAGATTTAGAAACATATATAAATGAATAAGAAATAATACTTAATAATTGAAATTTTAAAAATGATAATTTTCATAAATATTTTAAATTTTAATGCCCATGAATGGCATAAGATTTATAAGAGTATTTGTCTAATAATAAGGGTCAGGAGTACCAATCATTGTTATATTTGATTCTGGAGAATCTGGACGAACTAATCTAACTGTTGACCGAAAAAAAGGGAAGTAGAGAATAATTAATAATCTAAAATAATTTCTCAGATGATAAATGTCCTAAATTTGCGAGTTCAAAGAAAAGAAATAAAGTATAATTATAATTGTTAAAAAATAAAGACGATAACTTGTTCCGTGTCATCAATGAGAAGTCTTTATTTTTTTTCTTACAAATGCAAAATGTTTAAATATATATTTTAACAATTAATTATATTTTTAATAATCCATTACAGAAAATAAATATTTATATTTAGATATATAATTTTTAAAATATAAAGCCGTTAAAAAGAACATTGTTGAGAAGACAAGAAACCTACGAGTATGGGTACAGTTGTGATAGGCGCTACACGAAGTTACCTTCTTCCTACGACTGAAAAATTGTCAAATCTGTACGGCATCCATTCAAATGCAATTAAAGGACGCCATCACAATCCTTCACCAATCAATGCCAATCCAAATCAAACTCTGTCTACATCGTTATCTCACTGAAACCTACCCTCTCAACATTACATTAATGAAAAGATTGCAAATCTGAACACTGGACTGGTAAATGCATAGGTAAAAAGACGACTGAAGAGAGTAGAAAAATGGCCAGATCCCAAGTCTGAAGAATAAAATCACCCAAATAAAATGCGCATATAATCACAGTTCTCAGCTTTGCATTTCTCTTTGTATTAATATATACACATACACAAAAGCAGCAACGACAACCCGAACCGAAAAGAAGAACATTCGCTTCCCTAACTAAATCTGGAACCTTTTTAGTTTGGTCGGAAAGAAAAAAGAAAAGTGGTGTAAAATATGCAGAGGCTATTCATGGTCGTAGTAATAAAATTCAGGAATACCCGAAGCTGCCCATAGTCTATCATTGAAAGTAGCTTGCATATCGTGCGGTATAAAAGGTGTTCGGCACAAAGGACACGTTCTTTGATCGTACCCCATCCAACGGTCCAGACATCCTCTGTGGAATATGTGGCGGCAGTTCGTGAGCCGTCGGATCTCGTCCTTCCCCTCGAACTCGTAGAGGCAAACGGCACAACTCTCCGGCGGGTCCACCACCGCCAGCTCCGAGAACTTCACGACGGGGAGGATTTCCCGGATGATGAGGGCTGACACGGATTGGAATTCGGGCACCCCTTGGGCCCACGCAATGTCGGGCTCCAGAAAATCGTGGAGGCCCATGTAGCATAAGAGGATGGTTATGAGTTTCCTGATGAAGCCCAACACCGATAGAAGATGCAGAAACAGCTTTGGCAACACTAGCTCCGTGTACCCCACTGGAAATCCCATGCTTCTTCTTGTGAAGTTTAACACGAGAGAGAGAGCAATGAGTTGTGGTTTAGATGGGTGCTTTAAATAAATAGATAGGAAGAGATTTTGATGTGGAAATGGCAACAATGGGCTTTGGTTTTAAGGGGAATGAAGACGAAAATGGGACAATATTTTCATCATAAAGTAATGACCCAAAAAAGCCTGTCCTCTACACACTGCTTTATGCTACCTTTAACTGCTGTCTTATTCGTTGGTTTCGCCTATCAATTTTTATTTTAATTTCATCTTCGTGTCTTTCTCTTCCGTTCTACTCCATTCAGGCCGAAAATACTGTTATGCAATTAAAAATTACAATCGCAACTGCACCATCAGTTTATGTAATTTTTTGTTCCTTACATTTAAGGTGTGTGTGTGTCTAACGAATTTACGTGTGATGGGATACGTCTGCTATTATTATTTTAAAAACGAAATAAGGAATTTGCTAATGTTTCTTTTAGTACCCTTAATATGATAATAAAAAGATATTAATAAACAAATACCATTGTTAAAGATTTTTACCCAATATGTTAAATCACAGTAGAAGTGACGCTGACAGTAGGCGTAGATTCATTCTGGAAAGGACTTTACCTAATCACTATTGTTAATCTAATTGTTATTTTCACAGTTTTATCAGTGAAGATTTTATATTTTTATCAAAGATTAAAATTAATTACACGTCGGTTTATTCAGTATATACTTGTAGTATAATCAATCTCCTATCTTTCCATAACCATATAGAGTAACTGGTGGATGATATCTTTGGGTGAGCTTTAATTAGAATTAGAAGTCATATCGCCATGTCCACATTTGTAATTTACAATTACATGAAAGAGGCCATGTTAGTCCATGAAATGACATGTCATTAAATAACATGTCCTCACGAGAAATTACGTAGCAATAAAAGGATTGGAGGATCCGGCTTTAATAGATTGTAGATAGACGTATGCAAAATTTTCACGTGAAGTGATGGTTGTTAGCTTCGAATTAGGACTGAAGTGGAGCAGTCACAGACTCACAATAACTAGCTTTCAATGACGCCAAGAAACTCCCTAAACCTTGTTCATTATGACAACAAGAAGATTTTCTTCGAAAACCCTGGAACCTTGGATGCATTCTGTCTTTACACTCACTGTTTTTTTAACCTTTTTCGGTACATTATTCTGTAGTCTTAACCGCTCAGCATTGTCTATACCGTACGCATGCACGAGAAACACAACAAATTAAACAATACATTAAACCAAAGCTTAAAATGATTCATAATTATAGCCGATTGAATTGCGCAAGGTACTCCATTTTGAATTTTGAGAATCCGTTGTTGGAGCGGAAAATGTCAAAAATCAGAAGGCTCTTATATTGAAAACAACGGCTTCGATGGTTTCTTTGATCATTTGATATTTAATTAGGTGATAAATCGCTAGCTAGGTATATCGTTATACTTAATTGAAAATATCTTCTTGACCACGTCAATAATTTTGGGGCCAGAGAGGGGGCTTGGAAGTCTAAATTAATCTCCAGATAAGATCATTAATCTGTGTAAGCGTTTGACTACAAATTATGATGAAGTTTGTCATTGCATTTTCCCCGTTTTATCCGTTACGTCCCCTTTTCTACACTTTCAAAATTTTAATTGCTAATATTTAATTTTAAAGTGGTCAAATTGTCTACATGATTAATAGTAAAATTTTAAAACATTCACGATGAATCAAGCGAGAAGAGTTGTTTTAACTTAAGACTTATAATTTCAAGTATGAGTTTAACTCAACATACCTTATAAAATTCTTATCATATTCAACTTTTAAATCATTAAAAGAAAGAAAGAAACGTATCAAGAATCGCTCACATATACATGAAAAGAAGGGTATAAGTGGTTTCCACACCAATCTTCCCTGTCGGAAGACCACTTCTCCACTTACGAAAACAGAAAGTGGTGCCGATGAAGCAGGTGAAGAACACGCCAACGAATGGGAAAGGAGGAACAGTGATTGACATGCTTGAATGGGGTTAGTGGTGGGGTGTGCGTGCGAGCGATGATATACAAAAAGATGGGACCTTTTAACGCATCACTGTTCATGGAGTCGCTGTCCCATTTCTATTGGGCCATCACTAACATATCAGATGGACTTCTGCCTTGATTTCAGACCAGTTTGAAAGTTTCATCCTTCTCTTTCTCTCTCTACTTCTTTTTATTCTGACACTGTTATGCACTGATGACACATACACTACAACCGGTTTAGTCTTTTTCAATTAACAAGTATTCTTTTTTTCTTCTGATAAAAAACAGATTCCTCAATCACTCTATCCTTTGTATAAATTTATATTTATTTTAAAATTGTTAGTTATAATGCTTTTGTTAATATTATATTTATAAGCTTAAGTTTATTGTTATCCGAGATTTTGGCTTTTCCGGAGAATAAAGATCAATGTAGAATATCAAAAGAAATAAGTATATGTTTGTCAAATCTTTGTGAGTTAACAGAACCCTAAACCAAATGGAGAGCATGTAGATGCATACGAGATCCATTAACCAATAGTATAAAGCTTTCCCATAATAAATGCTAACTTGCGGGGGTCCATGACTTGAGCCTCGTTTCCATATGCGTTTAAAGCATGTTTCAGAATTGCAAGTAGCGATAAATTTGAGGCACAAAAAGATTGGTGGCGATAAGTCCACTTAAGAGCGAAACCCGTGAAGGCATTAATATCACTCTTTGGCCATTTGGGATAGGGAGTCAAGAGATAATTATCATTCAATGGGACTTGACGGTGACAACGTTCTCGAACCCTTTTACTAACTTATGTTTTTATTATTATTTTTTCTAATCTTTTCTCGTATTTATCAATTCCTTTCCACAAATTAATAGAGAATCTTCTTAATCTTGACGATGAAAATTTTATAATTTATATTTTTTTTTGTTAGAGCTAAATATTTAATCGAGATTGAGTAGTATTAAATGTTAACAGTTTTTTTTAATAATAATAATATCTAAGCTAGTAAAATACAGTTAAAATGGAGAAAAAGGGTTGTAGAAAAATAGTTTGCTTCGAATAATTAGTTCGAAACTTCTTTTGATAACCATACCTTATATAAATTATTTGATAAATGATAAGTTTGTTTGTATACTGAATATAACGTTAATATTTGACATGTTATTTTACAAGAAAGTGAATTGATGTTAAACTACCATAAAATGTATAGCAAACTATGCGATAACTTAATTAATTAATACTTGTTATACATTGATATTAAACATACAATCCGAAATTTATTTAACTTTGTCAAAATGTGGTGTAAAAATATAAAATAAAATTAGTTATAAGGAAGTAGTATATTGTGTTAAATAAACCGATGTTTATGTAATGCGTGGAAGTAATATTATTTGTAAAAATAAAATAAAATAATACCAAAATTATTAGAATTGTAACTTGAAGTCAGCCACTTAGTTGAGGGATCAATCGCTCATTAATTGTAGAGCAAATTGCCACAGGCTCATAATAGCATAATTTTGTTATACTCTAATTTAAGATTCTCATAAACAGATTTTAAAGGGTTTCAAAATTATAATTTTGCTTTCGCCATCATTCAGTATCTTAGAAACTGTACAAGAAGTAAAAGTAGCACGACAAAGCAAGCAAATCACATTTACTTTAGTAATTACCACTACTGTCGGTGTTAATAATTGAAATGAAAATAATGATTTTGACTTTGACTTGAATCTAAACTTTATACATAAATTAATATCCAAAATCTGTATGACCATAACACTAACAACAGAGACATTTGAATAAATTGAATGAAACGAAGCAGGACAGAGTGAAGATGGGGTGTGATGGAGATGAATTACTAGTTGCTTACTTTGTTTGGGTTAAAAAATAAAATGTGGGGGAGAGAGAAAGAGGAAAGGGGTGTGAAATGATTGAGTGAGATGGGGAAATGAGGAAGGGAGAATGGGGTGGAAAATTTGGAAGGAAAGCAGGACAAGAGAAGGCGTGGCAATAGTTTAGGAGAAACTGGACACGGGGCGCAAATGTTTGGCCACCAGTACCACCCACCAGGCATGAGGCATCTGCAGCACCAAAGGTCCTATTTCTAATCTGCTCTGACATGGTGTCTGATGCGGCCAAGACACTATTGGTCCACATTCATTGTTCCTCTTCCTCCCTCAATAAATTAATTAATCATGTTCATACTCCATCTTTTACTAATACCCATCCCCATTCACCCACCCATCATCTTCCCTTTTGTCTCATTCTTTGTCTACCCCTTCCTCACTATCCCAATCACAATCTCACATTGCCACTAAACTTTCTTCTCTTTATTGTGAAGTAATTTTATGTTAAAGCCTAAAATTTGGAGAAATACTTGTGCCTTGTATATGTATTCTTTTAGGCAGGCTTGATGGCATATTTGGCTGTCGTTGATTAAAACTAGCGAGAAATATCTCTAGTAGAAAATGGCCCATCGTTTCCTTAAGTATTTTCTTTGATAATTAATGGCGTAATTTATTTAAATATTATAATCTAAAAAACAAATTATCACTTTATAACAAATTTGAAACAATTTCTCACTCTGGAGTATTTTAGGTTACGTGTCTATAGACTCGTCTAGCGATTATAATTTTTAATTATAATATTGTTAATTAAATTTTGCCAATTGAATTACAAAATTTATAAGCATTTGACATGTGTCACATAAAGTAGAATATTACATATTTGATGGCAAAAATATTTTTTTAATTTATTTTTAAATTAATTTCGCTACAGAACTGGTGAAACAAATGAGAGGTTGACATGTGTCAACATGTTGTCTAAATTCACCATTTTAGTGGCGAAATTATCAAAGAAATCACCAGCCATGCTGCAAAACTTACAGACTCCAATTCTTTTCGCCAAATATATGGCAAAATTTGAATATTATATCTACCCCAACCCTCTTCTCATTTTCACCGCAGAAGGGCACATTAGAAGAAAATCAAGTATGTGTAATTTAATAATTTTATTATTTAATTTTTAATGTATGAATTTAGTTATATTTAATTAAATAGATTGTTAAATTAATTAATGAGTATTG